ACTTTTTTCTCTTCATTAGAATTTTTCACACAGGATTTTTCCTCATAAGAGTTTAACGAATCATATTCTTTGTGTGATAAATGTCCATAACATATAAGTCATTTACCCTAAAAATAGTATTCTATATGTATGAGATTTCTGAAGAGATTATCAAGAGTTATTTTTTGAATCATCATGTTAATAAAGTCATCAAAGATTGATAAATATCTCATATGAAGATGGTATTATTTGAAAACTATACAAGACAACATTGGATATACATTACCAGAAATTGAAACATTGAAGATATTGATGTACAAGATAAGGATGAATCGATATGAGAATTGAAATGAAGGGAGAGTAGCTATACTCTATTTCATTCGATCAAGTTTTATCCCACTGGATTTCTTGACAAGGTTTTAAGAAGGCAACATTTCATTACTTCAAATTATTTGTACTTTTTTTCATTTATTTGACATTTTTGTCCAATCAAATTTTTTACCAAACAATGTTTTGATGAGATAATTATTGTGTAAATAGTCATTCAAAAGGGAGTTGTAAATATATAGTAATATTTATGAATGATTTTTATACTTCTACAGCCTTGGTTATTATGATCGTTTTATCTCTTGTAGGCCTAGTTCTCTCCTATGAATATGAAACTTTGATTCTTAATAAAATATATAAATTCTCTCTTTTTCTCTCTAAATTGTAACAATGTATATATTATAATATTATAAATACAATCATGAAAAATCTCAAACCAAAATAAAGGTTTAGGCTGTCACTGTAAATGTTATCGGACGAAGAAATGTTTCTATGTATTTTATTGCATATAGGGTAGGTGCCTATTTTGAAAATTTAAGGATTTTAATAAATAAATTAATTCTCTTTTACATTTTACTTTTACTTTTTCTTTATTTTCCTCTGATTATTAACCGGATATATTAATCTTTTACATACAAATTTAATATTGAAAAGGAAAATTAGACACAACATGTACTAAAACTACTAATTACAATAAAAATGAATAACTAACTATGAAATTATTTTTTGAATTTTGGTTAAGTGTATGATTTTCATGTGAGTTAAGAGAGACAAAGATTAAAATTTTAATTTTATAAAGTGTAGAAGAGAGAAACATAGTAGAAGTAAGATTTGATATTGCTAACAAGGTGACACTAAATAATAAAGTGAGTTTTATATTCACACATGTAATTGATCTTATCATTTCACCACATATCACCTATTTCATCCATGATCCCACTTAGTACACGTCTAGAGAATATGACACAAATGATCACATGTTATTAGATGAGCAAACGATCATACCAAGTGTGTAAATAACACCGCCTTACCGAAAATTTTCTCTTTAATATGACATAATTAATATTTAAGAACTTCCACTGTATCATCAAATTATACTATCAAGAACTTGAACACTCTTCGACAAAATTTAATTGGTGAGAGTAAATAAGTAAATAATTAATTGATTTAAAAATAAACAAATTGTTGTAAATATAGTAGTATTTATGAATTACTTTTATACACATCAACCTTAGTCATTATAACTTTTGTATCATTTGTAATCCTAATTCTCCCCTATAAACATTTCATTTTGATTCTTAATAATATAAACAATTTTACTGGCTTCTCTTTTGTTTTTTTCATCTTTAGTTTATAACATGTTATCAACGTGATTCTCTCAATTAAAATAAATTAGTTAGAAGGTAATAATTTTTATAAGCACAATAATCTGTCACGTACCAAAATTAATTTGGTGACATGTGAATTCTTTTGATGTACTTATGACCATAACAATGTGGTTTCTTCTTCTCCACTTTTCGTTTGTATGCATATTACTTATAATTTATATTTGTATGTGTAATTTGTACACATCTTAATTCAAGTTCTATTAAGTAAATTCATGCTTTACCATTAATTCATGCATTTTGATTCATACACAATCAATTTTTCTACATATTATTCATGTATTAATTATGTCTCTTGATTCTACCACATATTAGTTCAGCCCTTAATTCCTATATATGTGAAATTCACGTGCATGTTTGATATCTTTTGCATGTTGATAAAAAATTTAACCACTAAAATATTTAATCAATTTTATTAACTTCTATATATGGAGATTATTTTTCCTAATTCATGTTTGGTAGTTAATTTTTACATATAAATTCCTATCTTATCTGTATGATAATTAATTTTATATTACATCCTGTTTGTATGGTAATTGATATTTTAAATTTGATTAAATATTTTAAGATGCACCTTTAAAATTTAAATTGATAATTCATCATGTTGTTGCTCCTGAAATAGCATAACACTATAATCAACATTCTAGAAAAATACTATTTGCTTATATAACGTGCTCTCGAAGTAAATTTTACTTGCTCCCGAAGAGCATAATTAAATATGATCTAACGTATATAATGTTTTTACTCCAGTAGAGTAAATCCTTATATAATTTTCAATATTCTAGAAGAATATTGATATATTGCTCTTGAAAAAATAATACTAAAATATAATGTGCTTTCGAAGTAGTACACATTCGGAATAATAATATCTCATTGTGTTCATGAAGAAGCACAAATTAAATAACTCAATATTGGATTGTAATTTTTAAAGGAATTTTTTTCTATATTATCAATATTCAGGAAGAATATTAATTTATCATTTTTGAAGAGCATGAATTATAATTTTCAATATACCAAAAGAATATTGACATATTATTTTTGAAAAAGCAATAATAAAAGACAACTTGTTCTCGAAGTAGCATATGTTTCAAATAATATATTATTTTGAATTTATGTTTGTCCTTGAAGGCAAGCATATAACTCATGTCGAATTGACAATGATTAGTCCGTATACTTTATTGATTGTTATATGATTGTATAATGTTTAATTATATTCTTCGAAATTAAATATTGAGTTATATCTTATATTGAACTAGAAGTTCAATTTGATTTTATTGTTTGGTATATTCAGTTAGACCATCACTGGATAAATAATGATGTAAAATTAAAAATTAAAAATAGATATTCAATGAAAAACCTTAAAATTCTTCAATCCATTGAATTCTTATGTATCATTTGTTCTCTTCATAAAAAATTGATTGTTAAACATTACTTGCTAAAATAGGGATTGAGTTCCCTATATTTCTGAAAATTAATTAGGGTAATAAATGGGGCTCTCTTTCACCACATTAACCATCTAAATATTATTTGTATCTAAATATTAATTAGGGTGATACATATATTAGATGATTAAATGGTATTTGCAACCTGGAGTTTGTGAGTACTTTGATAAATGATTTAGTTGAGACTTTGATAAATGATTTAACATTGTTTAATGCCTCCAATTAATTTAATTGAGAACAAAATACTTCCATTTATGTTTAGGGAAAGTTTTTACGCATCATGCTAGTATCATAGTTTTCCCTATTATAATTGGCATAATTTTTCATCATCTTATTTTGATAGTGCAGTATGTAAAATTTATCCACCGTAATGCATTGAAATGAAAAGTAAAGAATGCTAAGAATAAATGAGTACTTTGAACCCTTATACAATATCTCAATCCCTAATAATGATCTTTTATAAAGCGGTTTGCTGATTGTCAATTTGATTGGAAAACTCTCTCAGCATTAGGAGGAGGATTTAAGAAACTGGAAGTAATGTACAAATGTATCATTATATAAATCATAATAAAAGATAATTCAAACCAAAAGATCGAAACATAATTTATTTATATATATTTACTGACCAAAGAGATCAACATCTCGTGCATCAGTTTTAAATGCTCTAACATATATCAATATCCTAAGAGGACAATTTGTTAACATTATATTTGGTAGCACGCTTGAAGCATGACAAAAAATGAGATATCTCAATAAGTTATGTCATTTTGAAGTAAGAAATAGAATCGAAAAAGAAAAAGTTGTTAATAATACTTCTGCATATGATATACTACATCATATAGTGAGAAAACAAAATAAATGTGTTGTAATATATTGAACGAAGTAATGATTGGCCAAATAAAATAGAAGCAATTTTAAATTGAATTTACTTTGGAAACTTGAAGTTTTTGGATCTATAATCCACCACCTAAAGGTGTATACTTATAAGAAATGAAAATAGAAAAAGAAATATGACATGTATGACTCTTTACATAATAAATTTCATGAAGACTCGTGTAATAGATAAATTATACTATGGTAAATGCAATCACAAGTCTCTATCTTGTTAGTCTGACAATGCATGAAATTTGATGTGCATGAAATCAATGTGATTATAACCAAATTACCTTATATGGTTTTAATACTATCCTTGAAGGATTTTATGTTTGAAATATATAATTCAAGTGTTATTATTATGAGGGGGAGAATACGCGTTGTAGTCGTTTTTTCTTTGACCAAGGTTTTGTTTTATTGATTTTTCTAACAAGATTTGTAATGAGACAACTTTGTGACGTATTTAAAAAGAATAATGTATTCTTTTTCTTTCATTAGAATTTTTCACATGGGGTTTTTCCTAAAACGGTATTGACGAAGCATATTCTTTATATAGTGAATCTTCATAACCTTAAAGATATTTACCCTCAAAATAATACTCTGCCATGTATGAGATTCTTGAAGAGATCAACAAGAGTTATATTCTAAATTATCATATTACTATAGTCATCAAATGTCGATAAATATCTCGTATGAAGATGTTGTTATTTGAAGACTATAAAAGACAACAAGAAATATACTTTACCAGAATTGCAATATTGAAGACATTGATGTACAATATAAGGATGACTTAATACAAAAATTGAAATTAGGGAGAAATAATTTTTGTGTAAATAGTCATACAAGGGAAAGTGTTGTAAATATATTAGTATTTATGAATGACTTATACCCCGCAGTTCTAGTTATTATGACTGTCGTATCTCTTGTAAACCTAATTCTTTCCAATAATTATTAGGCTTTGATTCTTAATAATATATACAATTTTATTGGATTCTCTCCCTTTTTTTATATAGTTTATAACACAAACTTATTTATAGGTGATATTTTCCCTGAACAAGTGTTACAAACTACATATTATATATTAGGAAGCATGAAAATGTTAACAAAAAGCTGTTTTAAATCCTATCTCGAGGCCACTGTCACGGCTGCCTTTCACCAACATGGCCGGAGAGGTCACCCACGGAAACTCTCCGGAAGTGAGGTGGCGCCGCTCGTACCCAACTTTTGCCACCATTGATGCTTTTCTTCAAATAGGATTTAACTTCTTGACTTGTAAGACTGCGTGACCAATTCGCTCTCTTAGAGGTGCCTGAACCAGGTCCATAACACTTGTACTCTCTATAATATGAAGTCCTATAAATCAAATAATACATGAAAATAATTTATTTTCCAACAATAAATATTTTAAAGCTCTAATCTTGTTTTTCTACCTTTTTTTTTTTAACAAATGAAAATATATATTTCATATCGTCTTTAGCTGCTTAGCAATCTTAAATTTTACACGAGCAAGTTCTACTTTTTAAAAAGATTATGAAAAAAATTTATTTATCAAGATTTTGATGAAAATGAAGCGTTTAAGAAAACATGTTCAAAATATCAATTATAAATAAATAAATGTATTTATTATCTTATGTGTTAAACTTATAAATGATGTAATTTAGTACTTAGAATTAGGTCAACAGATTAAAGAAGTATTTAATTTAATTATTAAAGCAGTCTGAGAATATCTTTTATTGCCTTTTTTACAAGCACATAAACTAGAAGACTCCGAATGGGAAACACAGAGGGTTTGACCACCAACCTCTAATTCTATATTTGTGAAGATTATTTTTGAATAAAATCGATACTCTTGAAAAAAAAAAAAAACACGAAAAGAAATTACCTTTGCTTTGAGGGGTTACCCCAGTCATCCCACCCTTGAGGCAATACAACGTTTGACATATAAGTTAGGGCGAAAACCACTCGAGAATAGGCACCCCATGGCCTTCCAAGTAGAGCACTTTTTAAGCCACTTATTTTGCAGTTTACAAAGGTGAATCCAGTTTTCTCATTAGGAGACTGTCTGTGCTGGGCAGTTATGGCCCCATTTCCTTTAGAAAGAGAATGCAAATGGCACTTCTGCATGTAAATACATTTTCAACAATTTTATTTACGAACATTAATGTTTTTCGAACACATCAAGGTTGGATTACTCTTTAATAATAAAGAAAATATTGTTCTTTTAAAAGGCAACCGATACTTGGTTAACCCAAGTCATTACATAAGGTTACAAATTCAGCTGACCAATTGATCGAGTTCTGTTCTGAGTTTCAATAATGAAAAATTTTAGTTTTTCGTGTCAAACCAACTAAAGCGTGATGTCCATAAATTTCATCAACGATATGAACCCCTATTTCTCAAAATATAATTGATTGAATTATAAGGTTTCAAATTCAGTTGACCAATTGAACGAATACTGTTATGAGTTTCAATAATGAAAAATTTTAATTTTTCATTTCAAACCAACTAAAGCGCAATGTCCATAAATTCCATCAACGATATGAAAGCCTATTTCTCAAATATAATTAAAAGAAAACAAATAAAAATGGTACCTCAAAGAGAGAGGCCGCATTTCCACAAATGAAATCAGTGTCCCCTTGAATGTAACAATTGTAGTAGTAATGCCTTCCTTTATCGTCAAGTAGCGTGTCTTGATGGGACAAAATTCTACACCCAAAGAATACTGCCCTATCTGCTGACACCCTCAATGCAACTGCTTTTGCCCCACTCCCATATGTATTCTGTAAATAAATCACTTTGATCACCTCACCTTTTTCTAGCTACTAAAATGAAAATTAGATTTAGCTACACTTATTTCCTTTCTAATTCAATTTTGGTCCCTACCCGAATTGGCCTTCCACAGAATTATCTATGCCTAATTTACAGCAAAATGAACCAGAAATGCAACGTAACGAGATACATGGTGGAGACGCTATTTAAAGAACGCAATAAAATTACTCAATATATAATTTTGAAGAATATATTAATATTAATCGATGAAGTTTTTTATAAAAGTTTTAGAAATTTTGAACATTGGTCAAATTTACAGTTGAGAAGTTGACAAGAGTTGTGAATACTATTAAACGTGTGGTTAAAAATATGTTTGACCAATTAACGAAACTTTAATGATCACTTGTTCATTTATTTTTGTGGGAGAATAAAGGTGAAGCCTATTTTTATTTGAGGTCCACAAAATAACAAATGCTGCGAAAAAGCCACAACAAAGTGCATTTCCTAAGAAAAAATGACGTTCTCTCTCTCTCTCTCTCTCTCACTCACACACACACACACACACACACACAAATTTACGTATATGGTTTTTGAAACTGTTACACTTGCAGTCTTAGAAGTTTGCAGTTCACACAAACTAACTACAATAAACTTGTTTGTGATTTCTAAGATAAAAAAAGACGATATTTTACTTTTATTGTGATTCGTTGAGGTGTAAACAATTAATATGTTATTCACTGCGACTCAATATTTATAGATCATCAAATATTCGATCTTGTCAAATTCCAAATAAAACTCAGTGGAGGCCTGGAAAACTAAGAAAAGATGTGTGGGAGCAACTTAGCGAATATCCAATGACGAGAAGAAGGAAAATAATTGAATAGAGAACTCAAGAATAAAATCTTAATTTTTTTATTCTTACCTGAATTGTGAGGTGACGGGCCATAAAATCAGAAGCCAAAACTGTGAAAGTTGGAGACTCAAAAATTTCCCCCGATTCATTCCTAGTTATTATAACTTCGCCAGCAGGTTTTGAGCCACTAAGGGTGATGAAGGGCTTGTCTACGGGAACAACAATTTTTTCCTCGTAAACACCTGGTTTGATCAAAACAAATACGTTTTCTGAATTATTCGATGAAACTGCATCAATGGCATCTTGAATTTTCTGAAAATGGCCCTTCCCGGAGCGGTCGACTGTTATATGAATGGCTGTAGACAGATAAAATAGGGAAAATAATGCAAGATAACCATAAATCGCCATTACCCGCAGCCACAAACATAAACAAGTGTGCTAGTCTTGACAACAAAAAATAAGATTAGTTTGTTTATATTTGCGTAATTAAATAATACAGACCAAGGTATTGAAAGAAAAGCAGAGGCAGAGAGGTATGTAGGTGATTAAAACCTACGTAAGAAATGTTTGAAAAACCGCTGTTTTATTCGGAATGCCATAATTGTTGAGGCATTTAAGGAAATACGTGTTGCATCACGTTTAATTACAGTTACGCTGCAGGTTCATTACTGGTTGTTGAAGAAAATATGGTCTCAACTATTTTTTATTGTGAATGGAAAGTTGCAATAAATAAAGAAAAGAATTACGTTATTCAATTTTACTAATGCTTTGCATCTATTTATGTGAAAATGAGATTACTATCAGATAGTCCAGTAAAGTTATAATTATATTTTTATGTATTGGACAATGTGACTGTGATTCAATGCCATGTACATGGTTGAAAACTTCCAGTAAGGCTAAATAATATTATTTTAAGGGAAATCGTTGACTAGTCTGACAAGATGTCTATAAACGGGATTGTTAAATGGGGGTAAATGAATGATGGATAAGTAAATAATACTTGTAGATCGTACGAAATGTGGACAAAAAATAACTAGACAAAAAGTGTTTTTTGACCAAGATATCAATGCCTAAAAGTGGGTATTCAAACATAAGTTTAAAATGTTGAGTTGAAATTTTTTATCTAAATATAAATAAGTAAAGCTTGAAACTAAATTGTCTTCGGGTTATATTGGCGCTACAATTTTTGTATGTTGTAGCACATTTTAATTGTGCTTAATGTTGTTATACCTTTGCTTTTCTTTCCATTGAATTTTATTGTCAACCTTTCATTTATAAGCATACCTTGTCCTTGATAATGGTTTCTGTCAAAATATTTTGTTTGCATGATTTGAAATGAAAACTTAAAATGTGGTGCAATAAATAAAATTTGCGGTTTTCCCAAAAAATTTTGAGGTGTGAATATAATTACCCAATAATCTATTATTGATGAAATTAGAAATAAGTAAGAAAACTTATTTTATTGAAAACCATAATTAAGCCTCCAGTTTGACACTTATTATTTGGAAAAAATAATTTTTCGAATGGTGATTTTTAAGCGTGTGTGGTAAAAAGTAGGGAAAAAATTTGAAGTTACATGCACAATATTTTAGTCCTTGTTTGACCCACATTATTTTCCTTAGAATGCATTTTTGAATAGTGCATTGATGAGAACTGTGTGGTTAAAAAATAAAAAAAAGTTTTGAATTTGCATATAATATTATTTTATTGAAAAATGCGTGGTTAAAATGATGTCAAATTACTGTTTAAAAATGTATTTTTTTTTTTTAAATGTGGCTCAAACATGGACTTATTGTGTGAATGTGTAATAGATGTCAAACAAGGGCTAGGTTCAATTTTCAAGATTTTCGTTCAGGTTTGTGCTTTAACAATATTTATCATGCAATTTTTTCTATACACGTATGATTTTATTGCGTTGAAGTTTAGGTTGAAGTGACTTTGTCAGAGATCGCACTTAAATGACATATATATCTGAGGTCGAGTTGAAGTCTTTAATGTCACCGTTTGGACAAGGCTTCAAATTTTCTTCTAGCCAATTGATTGAGGATTTTCATTCTGCAACAATGATATACTATGTGCCCGTGGGGGCATTTTCAATTCGACTTGCTTCTTATGTCGACATGCTTCTTATGTCGACATGCATATATTCATTTTGTATGCGTGGTATGCAATGTGGCTCTTTTGTTACTGATGCGAAGTCCAATTGAACAATAATTATTTCAACACGTAACAAATATGACTATTGATGATTTTAGTTAAAATTAATATATGTTGGTGATTTAGCTTAAATTTAAAAATCTTAAAACGGTCCCACTTAAAGTCAAACACAAAGTCAATGCTCAACACCAACCACTAATCCCATCCCACGACGTCTCTCTCTCTCTCTCTCTCTTCAAGGATTGATGTCAATTCTTGCAATTGAAACCATTTTCATTTCTTCCCCATCTTTTTCTGTTTCAAGTTTTTTATGAATTGATCTATTGAAATTCTTGAATGTCCATCCATTTGATTGAATTAAGAATTAAGAAGGTAAGCCTACATCTGAATTACCCAAAAAAGGCACCCAGGAAAGCTATGATCTTGATCAAGATTCAAAGACCATAGAACATAATATTAATTTTTAATGTATTTTAATGCATATAAAGAAAAAAGGTTGACATGTTAAAATGCTATTGGAAAATTATATCGACATCTTAGTGATAGGGTCAACCCGAAATAAATTGGGCTACATGAAGTAACATAATTAATTAAGGTTGATCGCGGTCCAACACTTTGAGGATGGCCCAAGTTGTGGTTGGTTCAGTCTTTAGATTGTTAGCCCATTTATTTGTGTTAGACATTATGTTGTCAAACGACCTCTCGGGCGATGATGAGAACCAATTTTATCAGTCGACATAAATGACTGAACGATAATTCAACATCGAATAATGGATGAACCGACCAAACGTTGCCTTACCTATTGGACGGCTAATATTCTTTGTGGCTTGTTGATTCTTTTCATTGGAAGTTAACCCTAATCGAGCCTACTTACCATATCCTTACTTACCTTATGTTGGCCACTTGACTTACTATATATATTGGTGTTTTCATCCTTGTTGACTCCGTCCAAAGTTGAACCCGTGAGTTGATAGAAACTGCCGTGTCCAAGCCGTGCCTTCTGCCTTCATCTTCTTCGTGATTTCTTCTCCACCCAAATTGCTTGAGTCTTTGTGAACCTTACCTGAGTGGTATCCATCCTAAGTGTGTGGATTGAATCAACCAAGCAAGAGAAGAAAGCAACCATAGGAGAGGGTAGCGCCGGCGGTATGGGTTCTTCCAGTTTTGATGATTGAATTCGGTTTTAATGGTTAACTGAGCCCGGGAATCAGCGTGAGCAGCAAGAGGAAGGTCCTAACATCTGGTATCAGAGCTTGGGTGGCAAAAAAGGGCTCAAAATCGGCTAATTTTCGCACTTTCAACTTAGAACTCAAATCTGAAAATTTGCAATTACTCACAAACCAGAGCTCGGTTGGACAAACGGAGGCCATACCCATCATCAGCAGGCCGAGGCGCTCCGGGA